GGATGATCTCGACCTCCCCCCAACTCCAACGCAATGGGGCAGGGTCCTAAATTGGGGGGCTCCCATCCATGGGTCCTCCATCCTGGGGGTGTCCAGCATCATCCCCCCCCCCTCCCCCCCCCCCCCCCCCCCCTTGGACACTCCTGGGCACCCCCAGGGCACTGCCCATGACACCCCCATGGGACATTGCTGGGCATCACAAGGGCAGCCCCAGGACACCCCTATGGGCACCCCCAGAACACCCCCATGGCACTCCTCGCTGCACCCCAGGGGCACCCCAATGGGACATCCCTAGATATCACATAAGCACCCTCAGTACACCCCCATGGGTGCCCTCAGGGAGCCCCCAGGCACCCCCAGGAGACCCACATGGCACACGACAGGACACCCCCAGTACCCCGAGACACAGGCACCCTGCATCATGAGGGCTTCATGGGCTCCCAGGACCCCCAACACCCAGCAGCCCCAGGGCACCCCGCAGCCCCCCCTCACCCTGCTCAGATCCAGCCCCCAGACCATCCCCTTTCCCCCCCGGGCCAGATCAAGCCCCCACCCCAGGCAGGGTGACACCCCACTCCTGGGCAGGGTGCCCCCCACCCTGGCCCTGCCCCAAACTGTGCTGTCCCCGCAGGAGACGGGGAACCCGGAGGTGCGGTTCATGCAGCTGGACCTGGCCAGCCTGCGCTCGGTGCGAGCCTTCGCCAGCACCTTCCTGCGCCAGGAACCCCACCTGCACCTCCTCATCAACAATGCGGGTGAGCCCCGAGACCCCCCCAAGTTCCTCCTGCACCCCCAGGGCACCCACTCTGGGCTGCCATTGCCTCCTTTTTGCAGGAGTGAGCGCCGGAGGCACGACGGAGGATGGCTTCAGCCTCTGCTTCCAGGTGAACCACCTGGGCCACTTCTTGCTGACCCAGCTGCTGCTGGAGCGGCTGCAGAGCTGCGCGCCCAGCCGCGTGGTCATCGTCGCCTCCCGCGCCCACTGCGCCGGCCGCCTGCACCCCGACACCCTGGGTCGCCCACCCCCGGGGCCGCTCTCAGCCTTCCAGGACTACTGCGACAGCAAGCTGGCCAACGTGCTGCACGCCCGAGAGCTGGCCACCCGCCTGGAGGGCACCCAGGTGACGTGCTACGCCGTGCACCCAGGTAGGGACCCACACCTGGGGAGGGTGGGACGGGGTGGGCTCACCCTTAGCGTGTGAGTGGGGTGTCCTCTGCATGAGGTGTCCTTTGCACGGGGTATCCCTTTGCACGGGGTGTCCCTTTGTGTGGGGTGTCCTCTGCACAGAGTGTGCTCTGCAAGTAGCAGCCCTGCACACGGGGGCCACCTTCGCACGGCGTGGCTTTTGCACGACACAGCCTTTACACAGAGAATTCCTGGACACGGAATGTCCTCTGGCACGGAGTGTCCTTTACAAGGCATCTCCCTCTGCACGGAGCATCCCTTTGCACGGAGCAACCTTTGCACAGGGTCCCTTTGCACGATGCACTGTTTGGCACAGAAGAAAGTGCATGAAACATCCCTTGTGCACAGCGCGTCCCTTTGCAGGAGCATCCCTTTGCACACTGTCCCTGTGCACGATGTGTCCCTGTGCACAGTCTGTCTCTTTGCACGATGCATCCTTGTGCATGGCGTGTCCCTGTGCACAGTGCACCTTGCACAGAGCCTACGTTTTGCACGGAGCACCCTGCACCACCAACCCCCACAACCAACCACGCTACAAGCCCAGAGGGGGCACAGGCAGCACCCCCGGGGAGGTCACAGCAGAGCTGCCCGTGCAAAGGCCACCTTGGCACGGCCACTTCCATGTCTTGCAGCAAAGCAACCGGCTCCCGTGTGGGCCCTTCCCCGCTGGCAGCCAGGGTGCAACGTGGCCACTTCTTTTCTCCCCAGGGTTTGTCAACACGGAGCTCTTCCGCCACACGCCGCTCTGGCTGAAGCCATTCTTCCTGCCACTGGTCTGGCTTTTCTTCTGCGAGGCGGACGAAGGTGCCCAGACCTCCCTGTACTGTGCCACGCAGGAGGGCCTCGAGCGCTTCAGCGGCCGCTACTTCGCTGACTGCCGCCTGCAAGAGCCGTGGCCACTAGCCCGCGACGACCGGCTGGCCCGGGCGCTCTGGGAGGCCAGCGAGAGGCTGGTGGGGCTGGTGGGGGCTGGGGAGAGCCCCTCGCCGTCCCCTGCTGCTGTCATGCAATAAAAGTGATGGTGGTGAACGGGAGGGAGCCGGCAGTCAGTGCCTGCGTCAGGCTGGGTGGGGAAATGGAGCCAGAGGAGGCAGAGCACGTCCGGAGGAGCCTTGCACGCCCATTGCACGCTGCGGTGCACACACCCTGCCTCGCACAGAATGGCAGGGGTTGGAAGGGACTTCATTAGAGAGGTGTTCCAGTCCCTCGATCATCTTCGTAGCCTGTCTTTCTTGAACTGGGGAGCCCAGCACCAGACACAGTGCTCCCGATGCGGCCTCACCAGGGCAGAGCAATGGGGGGGGGGGATGACCCTCTATTCTGCACTTGCCCCTCTACTCTGCACTCGTGAGACCCCACCTGGAGTACTGTGTACAGCTTTGGAGTCCTCAACACGGAAAGGACCAGACACAGTGCTCCCGATGCGGCCTCACCAGTGATCAGAGGGATGGAGCACCTCTCCTATGAGGACAGGCTGAGGGAGCTGGGATTGTTCAGCCTGGAGAAGAGAAGGCTCCGGGGAGACCTTATAGCGGCCTTTCAATATCTGAAGGGTGCCTATAGAAGAGCTGGGGAGGGACTCTTTGCCAGGAAGGGTAACGATAGGACAAGGGGAAACGGTTTTAAATTGGAAGAAAAAAGATTCAGATTAGATCTCAGAAATTTTTTTACTATGAGGATGGTGAGACACTGGAACAGGTTTCTCAGAGAAGCTGTGGCTGCCCCATCCCTGGAGGGGTTCAAGGCCAGGCTGGATGGGGCCTTGAGCAACCTGGTCTGGTGGGAGGTGTCCCTGCCCAGGGCAGGGGGGTTGGAACTGGATGATCTTTGAGGTCCCTTCCAACCCAAACCATTCTATGACTCTATGACCTCTCGACCTGCTGGCCATGCTCTTTTTAACACACCCCAGCAGACCGCTGGCCTTCTTGCCCACAAGGGCACACTGTTGGCTTGTGGGCAACTCATTGCCCACCAGGACTCCTGGGTCCCTCCCCACAGAGCTGCTCTCCAGCACGCTACCCCCTAACCTGTACACCGGTGCCTGGGGTTATTCCTCCCTCAGTGCAGGGCCCTACACTTGCCGTTGTTGAACAGCATGATTCCGCCCAACTCTCTTGGCCTGTCCAGCCTGGCTAATGGCGGCACAGCCCTCTGGTGTGTGTGTGTGTGTCCCCTCACCACGTCCTCACAGCCTGCTGCCATCAGGCCCCACACAACCACCTCCCAACATGGCGGCGCCCACAGGACGCTCAGCCCCGCCCCCGAGGTGCGGCGCGCCTCAGCGCCGACCTTCCCAAGATGGCGGCGCCCACAGGGCACTCCGCCCCCGTCTCCCACCCCTCCCCGCGGAGGTGCGGCTTGGGCTCAGCGCTGACCCTCCCAACATGGCGGCGCCCGCGGGTCGCCCCTTGCGACGTGCGCCGCGCGGGGGCGTGGCGTGGCGCCGCGGGGGGTTGTGGGAGCGGGCGGTGAGGAGGAGGAGGAGGAGGCGGCGGGCGGTGGTGTGGGCACCATGGGCAACTGCCACACGGTGGGGCCCAACGAGGCGTTGGTGGTGTCAGGTACGGCCTGAGCCTCGCAGGGGCTGGGGAGGGGGAGGGACGGGAGGTTGGGGAGGGGGCTGTCATGGGGGAAGAAAGGCTTGAGGGGGGACCTGTCATGGGGGGACCCTGAGGGAATTAGGGTTGTGTGTCTCTGGAATGGGGTCTGCTAGTAGGAGGCCCCGATGGGAACTGGGGGAGCCTGATTGTGCAGGGGCTCTCAGGGGGTTGAGGGGTCTCTGTCATGGAGTTTGGTGCTGCCTGGGGGGGGGGTTCATGTCCTGAGGGGACTTGGG